GCATTTGTTACCTGTTTGTGCACTCTGCTGTCACAGGGCAGTTTTGCTGAAGTGAACAGAGAATGTCATTGCCACTCACAGTGTAAACAATCTTCTGGAATAATATGTATGGACTTTACAGATTTAATTGTTTGTGACTCTTGGTTGTTTTTTTTTTCTCTGACCAGCTGGAAAAACTGATAGAGAAGAACTATTTCCTTCACAAGTCAGCCCAGGAGGCATACAAAGCTTACATTAGAGCTTATGACTCCCATTCTCTGAAGCAGATCTATAATGTCAATAATTTGGATCTTCCCAAAGTCAGCCTTTCATTTGGTTTTAAAGTTCCTCCGTTTGTCGACCTCAGTATCCTTTTACTGCGGTGTTTCAGAGTTGAATTTCTGCATTATAAGTGTTCTGTGCAACTTACTGAGTTCCTGTGCTACCTCAGGTTCTGATGGTTTGTAGTTGTGGGGGTTTTTTTTGCTATTAACAATTGGAATCCATCATGCTCCCACAGCAGTTTATCAAAGAAAATGTTACATTGCACGTACTATAACTGCAAAAATTGCGTACGAGCATCTGTGTTTTGGTGCATGTCCATGCTGTGTGTGCCTCAGTTGCTGTGAGGCAGCAGATACTGGAATGCACACGTGTTCCAAAGTACTGTTCTCCTTCTGTGCAAAATTATTTTCATGGAAATCCGCACGCTTATGTTTCATAGTCGTGGAATATTGACATAGAGGGGCAAAAGCATGAAATAGAAAGCTGTATCTAGATTACTGTCAGACCTGGCAGTGGATGGAACTTGAAGCAATAGCACTTTGGACAACTGCAGGAGTATTTACAACCACAGGCACGTAGTTCTGGTTTCCTCTATAGTTATGCAACTCAGCTGGTATTTTTTTCCTCATATTAATAACCCTTTCAAAACCCAAAAAAACCAACATTCGAAATTATTCCTTTTTAAGTTCTTTAACCAATAAAACTTCAGATGTGAACAGCAACCATGGCAGAAGACTTCAGAAAAGAGGTGGAGGTGGAGGATTTGGTTACCAGAAGTCCAAGAGTGTCCACAAAGCGAAAATCTTCAAACACATCAGCAAGAAATCAGACAATCGGCAGTTTTCTCGTTAGTCATCCAGTCATTAAAATGGCTGCTGGCATTGGAAGAGCCCACCTTGATCAAAACCATCTGACAGTTACTTTCAGTTTAAACTGCTCCATTCACAGGTTTAGGTGGTTTTTTTCCGGGAACATCTTTTATTTCTAAGGTCAGGAAGACTCTTTGGAAGGGAGGCTAAAGGATAATATGGCCAGCTAATTTTGCCATATTTAAGGAAGAAGCTCATTTAATTACTTAAAGTCAATACTACAGAGGTTTTTATTAAAGAAAGAAAAATTACTTTTAGGTTTTATAGAAGAACTTGCTTTACATTTACCCTTTTTGCTATGCACACCTTTGAAAATTGTTGGAGTGGTCATTACAACGTGAGATGAAAGGGACATTACAAGGACATTACAACGTGAGATGAAAAGGTTTTGCTCACTTGAATCTTTGCAAGGGATTTTAGTGCTACAGAACTCTGCACTGGCCATCAAATATGCTGAAGAATATAGGAAGATTCCTTTAGAATAGAGCATATGGATGAACAATTAAGGCTGTATGAGCTTGTGATTAATTTCAGACATGGTATCTTTATAACAAGTACAGTGTCCAAAATAATAAATCACCTCTTACACCACTTCTGGGACATGCATGATACTCTTTTGATGTTGTGGTAGAATGGTAACATTCTAGTGCAGTGTTTGGTTTTCCTTCATGTTCACTTTAAATCTGAAATTATCTACTGTTTTCTCTTATGAAATGCAAAAAGAATTAAGAAAAGCAGGTAACATAAATTGTACTTGACCCAGATAATTTTTTTTAAGATACTTCATAACCTTGATGCAGAGAAGGTTGGTAGCTGTGTCTTGTAAATTACAAAAGTGAATTCCTTTTAGTATATCAGATCAGTGGTGGGCAAAGTCAAAGGTGCTGCCATGGGACTGAGGGTGGAGAGACTCAATACATGAAAAAATGAAATGGGGTATAGATATACTAGAAGGGTATTTTGAAGGAAGAATATAAAAGACTGAAGTGGAAGAGGCTGGAATACACATTGCAAACGAAATGTGGAGGGTGCAAAAAGAATACAGAAGTTGGCAAAAGTAGAGTAACTATTACATATTATTTTCATCTCTGCTGTTGTAGCAGTAGGTAACTGCTCATATGAGGCTGCCGTGGTGATGGGCAAGTGTTTAAAAAGTGTTTATGTGTCAAGACAGGGAAAGACAAATGTCACAGAATCCAGAAATCTGGACCCCGTGTGATTACAGTAAACCAGCTTTTAATTAGCATTTAAAATGTAACTCGGGACCAGTTACAAAAGCATGAGTAGTTATTCCAATATAAATAGGACTGTTGTTTCTTAGGTCTTCTGAAGTAGTATGTCAGATTTAAAACTATGATATGAGCATTGATGTATGGCCAAAAAAAATAAGTGAACTTTGTTTTCATCCTTAAAAAAAAATAGATAATTTTTGGGGGGGAGAAATAATATCACCATTCTGTTGCCAGTGCTTCCACCATTCAGAACTGAACATTGCCTGCTTTTCCATTTCTGTCTGTAGACTTGGACTTTTCAAGATTCTTAATTAACACTGGTCAGATCTTCAGAGCTTCTGATACGTCAAAATATTTCAGTAGATTAATTTTGTCACATGGATTTGAATGTCTTGTGCTTCTAGGGTTGCATTGAAATGGCAAAATCTGCTCTGAAGGGTAAGCAATGCTAAAAACATGATGCCTGTCTCATTGAGTTCTAATCTTTGATTCTGGGGTTTCTTATATATTTATAAATAATAGATGTTAAAATAGTTCTCATACCTGGTTATTAGTGGCACATTTTAGGAGTTATCTCTGAGACCTACAGCCTCATACAGTTTAAGGCTTCTGTCTGTACTTGCCAGCTGTGTAGTCACAGCATGGGAATTAACTTACATTACAGCAAAAGAAACGCTGAGGGACTCATTATATGAACTGCAAAATTAATTACTTGGAAAGAGATGTAAGCAAAGCTTTAGTAAACCACTGTGAAGATCAGAGCATGGTGATGTGGGGGAAAGCAGCCTGGCTGTGGTAGTGTGGAATATTTGTTTGGAACAGGTAAAAGAGCTGAGATGTTGGACCCAGTCAGTGGCCACCTGTCTGACCATGTGCTGCAGAGCCAGAACTGGTTGGGCTTGAAAATGCATTAAAATTCCTGCCACTTCCCTGTGTAGGCAAAAGCCTGCACTATGGAGAACTACTTTTATCTGTCAGTCATTTTGGGAACAGCAAGCTGACTGCTTTCCCAACAGTTCGAGAACCTCTACCTGCACCTAATTTTTTCTTTGGAAGAGCTGAGGTACTGTCTGATACATGGGAAACACTGACAAAACAGTGCTTTGGCATGAGCCTGCACAATTCCTCCCTGGGATATTTGAGTTGCATTTTCTTATAGACCCTACTACAAAGAAACCTTTGAACCAATCTTACTTAGGAGATGAAAAGACTGGATACTATTACTCTAGAGTAATACCAGCTTACCCTAAAAAAAAAAATTTAAACACTGTTACTTAAACATTATATATGTATGATGGCTGCACAGCCTGTGGTAACTACATAATTTGCTCTAATTTCCTGATCAAGCAGAAGAGAAATTCACGAGCTGAGACCAAGTGGGAGTTAAAAGAGAAAGGGCTTCAGCTTCCTGGCTTGTGCAGATGCAATTACCTTTTGCTTTGTTTATGAAATCAGAAATGACAAATAGTTTCTGATGAAATATCATGTATGGGGCAGCATCTGTTCTACTGTGGGGTATTGCAAGAAGTGTAAAACATAGTCAAACTGATTGGAAATCCAGCATTTCCTTTGCAGCTTCCCCTGTTATCAATCTTGTGAGCAGTTAATAGACCTCAGCCCTCAGACTCTCAAGGCTTGTCTCATAACAGTGACCGATAGGTTGGGGACTAATATTGTGTGCCTTGAGAAATTGCCTCCTTTCTCTGAGAACCTTGACAAAGAAATTGGACTCTTTAAACCACTTAAGGGGGTCATCAAAACTGTCCTGCTTGAACTCAAAGATTTTTTTGACAGTTCTTGGAACAGACCCATAAAGGAGAATTCCATTGCTGTTCATAATCATGAAAGATGTTGTCATGATACGAGTTTCCTTTGCCATAACAAGTTATAGACAAGCACAAGACCAGTCAGAAAGTGTTGCCATCAAATTTTTCAGGGTGAATGTCACAGGTAAAGGGCACATTTATTGACAGTGTAGAGCAAGAATGCTTGAGAACTGGGTAAGATATTATCTGCCGAGGTCTGCTGTAAATAAAAAGTGTGTTTATGTTTTGGCAATAATTAGCCTTTTTGTTTGATGTATGAGTTGATGACTCAATTTAAGTAAGCTACCAAGCTCTAGATACTCAAATGATTTCCTTTCAAGCCAGTGATCTGAGGCTCAGGGGAAGCAAGCTCTCACAGGAAGAGTGAAAAGGGTCATGTGATTTTAAAAAATAACATTTTAGGAGAGGTCCCACTGTGAAGGAAGGCAGGGTGCTGACAAAACACAGCACAGCTCTGTGACTTTTACTTGTAGTTCTACCACTCTCCTGTTTAGGAGACAGTTTTCCAGTTATTTCACCACCACACCACCCCCCAAACTTAGAAGGGATTTTACAGAGACCTAAAAACCTAACAACTAGAAAAGCCAGTTATTAGCCCTTGAAAGGTGGGTCGGTTGTTGGGGCTGGGTTTTATTTGAACTAAAATAATGTTGAAAGAAGCCTAGAAGCAAGGGGCTGGGCATAAAGAATAAAGTCTGTCACTGCTCTTGACTTGCTCTACCAGCTTGGTTTTCTCAGGATTTTAGCTGCTTGGCTTGACAGGGGAATTCATGCGACTCTTTTTGATGCTTTTGTTTGTCCAATGCTTTTAGATTTATAGATGATGTTGAGCTCTGACAATGGGAACCCAGCCTCCTGAACTGGAATGCTCTTAGCTTCTAAAAAATCTGCTTTCTTCCATCAAAATCATAAATACCATGATGTTGCTTCTGTCAAATCTCTTTATTGCACAGCCATGTGGGGAAGAGATTACATTTTCTTTTTCTCAGCCAGCACGATAAACTTTTGATATGGAGTTGTGAGGAGAGGTAAAGATGCCATTAAGAGAAGGGAAGACAAATGGAAAATTGGGGTGCTGTCTAGAAACACATTCACTTTGCTATATCTGTGTCATCCAGCTTAAGAACTGCATTCACTTTAAAAAAAAAAAAAGAAAAGAAAAAAACCAAACCTGAGCATACTCTTCAATAGCAGTCCATCTCCCTAAACACTTTTGTAAGCTGCAGCACTGAAAAACATAACCATCTACTATTTTTAACCAGTTGGTCAAAATTTAAAAAAAAAAAAAAATTCATAGGCTCTGCAAAATCTTATATAACAGTACCAAAACTTCGAAACTCTATTTTGGCTGTCAGCTCAATGTGTTGAACCACCCAGGCTTTCTGAGCTCCTCTTTGAGTGGTTGCAATCACCTATGGATATTGAGAATTACAGGAATACCAGATATGTTACTCAGAACTAAGCCTAGATGTTCACTCATAGGGGCTGACAGACCATGTGAATTTGCAGGAGTTATTGGGTCTCTGGATAAATGTTCCTGATACATTATCACTTCTGATTTAAAGCACTTTCTGTATGGGAAAACAGAGGAGGAGGCAAGTTCTCCCTGGCACCTTTCTATCGTTATTAAGAAACCAGAGAAAGAATTTATGAAAGTACATAGTAACACTAGTACCTACAAAATGTGATTTGAGGGCATAAATGGAACCCTAAAATGACATTGCTAAAAAAACCAAACCAAACCAACCCCACCATAAAGCAACTTCATGGTTTTATAGAAATTGTATTCACTGATATCTTTGAATTCCTCTCTTTAAGTGTGGCAGAAGAAAAATTAGCAAAATGGTGTGTGGTACTAAAAGAGATAATTCTGTAATACTAGAAAAATAATCCCTTACCAGTACTAAGCCCTATTGCAGATGATCTGTAGCAAAACTGTATGAAGCTTTCATAGGACTTTTCAATCTAAAACAAAAATGGAAAATAAGTCAGTACAGTGTAGTCCCTTTATAATGGTCTAAAAGTAATCTGCCTCTATCTCTAACACAAAAAAAAACCTTCTGAAAAATGTAACATTAAATTTCATATATTTGCTATAAAAATACAGCATCACTTCACATAATGAGTTGAAATTCTGTTATCTGGATGAATCATCATCCTCCAAAGCTGTTCCTAAGCAGCATTCTGTTTTTGGAAGTGCTTGGAAACAGGGTGCTGTAACCAAGCTGGCCTGGGCAATTGCTGCCTGGTCAGGACAAACACTTCCTTAGCACAGCTGAGCAAAGGGGAGCTTGGGCAGGAATTATGAGGATGCAGGGAGGGTTAAGCCAAGTTAAGAACTTCCAGACTGACAGAAAAAAAAAAAAAGATTATGACAAGACTGAGTCTGAGGAGATTCATTTCAAGAGAGAGGGTTCTGCGGGTGATGTTTGGTAAAGTGATAAAGACAAGGAAATATGTTTTGCAATTCCTCACCTCTGTCACAAGTCCTCTTCTCAGCAATTCTCAGGTACACAGGGAAAAGTGAGAACAGATGCAAAGGAAGATGTAAAGTATTTTTCCTCTAAGACTTACAAGCAGATTACTATTTCCACCCTTTTTTTGTTTTGCATCCCTCAGACTTCCCAGCCCACAAAGAACCAAGCATCCAGATGGAAAGATGACATTACTTGGTATTCACTGTTAATTCTATCACCCTTAGTCACATATTTGTTTGCTTATTCTAAGAGCAATGAAGTGGTTGGTTACACACTGTCATACTCCACTGAAAAAAAAGCCCTATGAAGATTCAAACTGTAGTTTCTGAAGTCATTGAAAAGTATCAGTGAATGAAACAAAGGGGTTTCATTTTTTTCAGTTCACTTTGACATGGCAGCAGCTTATCATACTACAATTGTGCATAAAACTAAACTACTCCTTTAGTTTCAGTAGAAGGAAAATGTTTTAGTTTTGGTTTTTTACTTTCTTGGGGTTTTTTTACCTATATATTTTATCGTGTCATGTAATTTGTATTTGTTTTTCTGCTATTTAGAATAAGTCAATAAGTGCAAGTCTCCTCATTTTTTTATAATTCCCTCTTCTCTTTTTCAAAGCATACCCTGGCTTCTGAGACATTGTAAAGTGTTGCCATAGCAATCTTTGAGGAGTGCTAAGCCTTTGCAGTCACAGGACAAGACAGCAGTGGGGTAATTATCAAGAAAAAATAAACCCCTTGGAGACTTTATTCAAGCCTCTGTATTATAGGACTGGGTTATTTCAGCCAAGAGGGAGGAAAAAGTGGGAGATTTCAATGCATTTGATGTGTGAACTGGAATGTAACTCTCAGGATGTGGCACGTAATGTACTCATAATAAATAGGAGAAGAGGAATGGGGGACACAGCTTCTAGGAAAAGAAGATTTTGAGATCATCGGGGCTGCTTTAATGATGGTCTGCAACAAAAGGGTCAAAAACAGTAATCTGCTTGTAAGTCTAAGAGTAGGAATAGTCTGCAACCTGCCAAGGAAGTACCCTCACACAAGAAAAAGACAACCTCATTTGCTGCAGGAGCAGGAACCAATAGATCATATCCTGGCCCATTTGGGCCCCTAAACATGAAACTTTTGCAGTTAGTCTAAGTTTTGCTTGTTTGTATGCAGTCTTTCTTTAGTAACCAAGTTAATTCACATTGTGACAAGATCCTTTTAGTCCTTAAGTTCACAGAATTGGACTGACAATTGTTGAAACATTTAGAAGTTAAAAGGCTTTTTTATCTGCTTGTTTCCCTGCCTGCTTTCATGTTTGGCTGCCTTTAAAATGAACGAAGTGTTGTTCAGTAATCCTTTCACTGGCATCTTAAAAGTGGCATTAACTAACAAAGTGAGACACAAATTAGAAAGGAGTGATATAAGGCAAAGCATGCAAAGCTGGTTGTGAAGCAGTCACATGCTGCTTGCCAACCCTGACAAATTTTTAGCAGTGTCTAGCTGTCTCAGGTGCTGCTTTAGGCTTAACTTGCAGCAGTATTATGCAAAGCCTTTTTTTGACAAGCTCTGTCAGATTCTACTCGTTGGAAGCTCAAAGCAAAGGAAGCCCATTCAGCACTCAGAAGTCCTTTTCTCCTCATAATAAAAACTGGTAAGTGATGCAGATAGTCTTCTCTTTGCTGCTGGCTTACACTAGAACACGTGTCAGAATTACTGTAGGAAAGAACAGCTGAAATCATGTTTGCATTAAGGGCCTGAAAAAGGATTTATTTGCTTTATTATTCATCTGGTGAGTGAAGTGGCATCCAAAAGTTAACCAACAAAACAGCCTGGTTATTCTGACTACAGTCATTGCCCTTAATGTCTGTAATATTTTATCACTGTTCCAGATTCTGAAGTTGGGGACCCCTGAGTAAGACAAGCCGGATTCTGCTTGCTGTGGGTAACACAGTGGTGCTGTGAGAGGTTTGTGTTTTGTCAAATGGTGCTATTTCTTCAGTGAATATGAATGCAAATGAAGAACATTGATTTGAGCAGCATTCATGTAGACAGGACCATTCTGACCCAGAAAATACCCCTTCTCTGCCTCCACAATCATCAGCCAATCTCCTGCCCCACTGCATCACAGTTTGTGATGTAGGTGTGCTGCTATTTGCAAGGAAACAAACTTCACTGACCTTCTTTGGTCTTGTTTACAGATGCTCAATTTCTTCTAATCCCTTTGGATATTTCTCAACAGCACCATATGACCTGGTAAGGGAAAAGAGCCCGTGTTTTTCCACCAACTCACATTGAAATAGTCCTGATCACAGACAATGGGGAAACAGAGAGGGTGAAAATGCTGATAGTGGGTTGTAAAGGACCCCAGGAATGAAAGCAGGCTGGGATAAAGGATACCTCCCAAATACCTCAGATATAATGCTTTAAACACACTTTAGATATAACACCCAAGTTGCTATACGATCCTGTCACAGTACTATAAATCAACTATGCCAAGTTGATTTGATGATCTTAAAGATCTTTTCCAATCTTAATGATTCCGTGATTTACTGAGGATGGTGAGGCACTGGAACAGTTTGCCCAGAGAAGTTGTGGATGCCCAATTCCTAGAACTGTTCAAGGCCAGGTTGGATGAGGCTCAGAGCAACCTCATCTAGTAGAAGGTGTCCCTCCCCATGGCAGGGGTTGGAACGAGATGATCTTTAGGGTCCCTTCCAACCGAACCCATCTGTGATTGTATATTCCATGATTTATTACTCAGGAAGTGAGAAATCGAATCGCTATATCTCCTTTATGCTACCACATTGTTAACTTCTATTACAGACTTTAAAAAAGTTTGTGTAATGAGTTTAAAATAACTTCTGAAACATCTTGAGTTGGAGTAGGGAGTGTTCTGTCACCTCATGGGGGCTGTGGGGAGAAGGGGGTGTCTTGTCACCGCACAGGCTGTGGGGACACACAGACTTCTGTCTGCTCAGCCCTAGTGAGGCCACACCGGCAGTGCTGTGAGCAGTTCTGGGCTCCTCAGGACAAGACAAGGAGCTACTGGAGAGAGTTCAGCAGAGGCCAAAAAGATGATGAGAGGTCTGGAGCATCTCTCTTATGAGGAGAGACTTCAGGAGCTGGGCCTCTTTAGACTAGAGGAGACTGAGAGGGGATCTCATTAATGCACATAAATATCCCAAAGGCAAGTGCCAAGAGGACGGTGCCAGACTCTGGCGGTGCTCAGCGACAGGACGAGGAGCAATGGCCTTAAACTAAAACACAAGAAGTTTCACCTCAACACAAGGAAGAACTTCTTTACGTTGAGGGTGGTAGAGCCCTGGAACAGCTGCCCAGGGGGGTTGTGGAGTCTCCCTCTCTGGAGACATTCCAGACCCACCTGGACGCGTTCCTGTGTCCCCTGCTCCAGGTGACCCTGCCTTGGCAGGGAGTTGGACTGCGTGATCTCCAGAGGTCCCTTCCAACCCTGACAATTCTGTGAGGAGAGGGTGTCCGGCCGCCTCCCGGGGACCGCGGGGCGAACGCGAGGGAACCACCATCCCTCAGGGAGCGGCCGCCGCGGAGCGGCTCCGGCACCGCCCCGGGGGCGGCCGCTGGGGCGGGGCGGGAGCGGCGGTGCCGCCCTCCCTCCATCCCTCCCCGTGCCTGCTCTTCGCTGCCGTCCCGCGGAGCCCTCTGCTCTCCTGCAGCCGCCCGGGATGGTTGTGAGGAGCGGCGGGCGGGAGCCGCGGGCTACGCTGGAGCGGCGGCACATGGCAGGCGGGCGCTGAGGGAGGCGCGTCCCGGTGCGGGCTCCCGCCCGCCGGCAGCGGGGCTGGGGACTGTGCCGGCGGCCTGGGAAGGGGGAAGAGTGAGGGGTCGCACCCCGGTCCCGGGCATGGCGGAGACACTGAGCCCCTGCAGCCCACGGGGCCAGTGCCAGCCCGGCATGGGCGCCAACGCCTCGTCCGCCAACATGGACACCAACGCCTCCTCCTCGGCCGCCCCCGCGCTGATGGGCGGCAGCGCGTGGAGGGGCCGGGAGCCCTTCTCCATCTTCACCGTCCTCGTCCTGACCCTGCTGGTGCTCCTCACCGTGGCCACCTTCCTCTGGAACCTGCTGGTGCTGGCGACCATCCTGCGGGTGAAGGCCTTCCACCGGGTGCCCCACAACCTCGTGGCCTCCACGGCGGTGTCGGACGCGCTGGTGGCGGCGCTGGTGATGCCGCTGAGCCTGGTGAAGGAGCTTTCGGCCGGGCGGCGGTGGCGGCTGGGCCGGGAGCTGTGCCTCGTGTGGGTCAGCTTCGACGTGCTGTGCTGCACCGCCAGCATCTGGAACGTGACGGCCATCGCCCTGGACCGCTACTGGTCCATCACCCGCCACCTGCAGTACACGCTGCTCACCCGCCGCCGCATCTCCAACGTGATGATCGCACTCACCTGGCTGCTCTCCGCCGCCATCTCCCTCGCCCCCCTCTTCGGCTGGGGCGAGACCTACAGCCCTGAGCAGGAGCGCTGCCAGGTCAGCCAGGACCCCTCCTACACCATCGTCTCCACCGGCGGGGCTTTCTACCTGCCCCTCTGCGTGGTGCTGTTCGTCTACTGGAAGATCTACAAGGCGTCCAAGTTCCATATGGGGGGCCGCAGGAGGAACGCCGTGGTGCCCCTGCCCGAGGCTGCCCAGGTAAGGGTGGGGATGGGGAGGAAAGCCCCTGCTCTCTCCCCCAGGCACCCGTGATCCTCCGTTTCATCTGCTCCCAGCCGTCACTCCTGCGCTGGTGGTTTCGGCACAGTGAGAAGGCTGCCAGGGGTCCCGCGGGAGTTAAACTCTTTTACAGACTGGACACTGTTACAGACTGGACGTGAGCAGTAATTAGCCAGTCAAAAAGCACCGCTCTTGGAGAAGAGCTTTATTCTCATTGTTTCCTTGTGTGTCCTAAGAGTGAGAAACAGGTGCATTTACTGCCAGACGGGAGAGCCATTTAAGAATATTCTCTTTGTTCTGAATGTGCCGTTCTTTGGGGTTTTTTTCCTCTTTATTTCTTTTTACAGTGTTAGTGGGGTAAACAAAGACATAAACAGACATAAACAGATCCCTAAGTCTGGTAAGTAAGAGTAAATGCATGCATATTTTATCTACCAACACAGACTTTGTATCAGTATCTCAATACATATCTCAATACATTTTAATAAGCAAATTATGCACTTCATTGATGTGCTTGGGCTATTTTTCCTTGAATACTGCTCACTACATAGTGTTAAAGCAATGAGCAATTAATTGTTTCTGGTTTAAAATAACCTCCTGTATTAAAAACCATATCCTTCTTCTTATCTCAGAGATTGTCTGTAATCTCGCAGTGCCTTAGTGGCACTTAGTGTGGGAGGTCTCATTCATTCTGGGGACACACCTTGCTGACAGGAAAGCTGTGTCCCTTCAGAAGGGTTGGGGTTGGCTCCTTGTGTCCCGTAAGTCAGGCTCTCTGCATGATGATGCTGTCAACCATGCCATGGCACCAAAGTGCTTGGCAATACTCTATAAATTCTCCCTGCTTTCTGTCATATATTCTTACTCTCACTCCTGCCTGTGGAAAAGATTCTTTATGTTTTTGTGATTTCCTGTTGTACTTGCTAAGTCCAGTCCCTTCCCAATAGCAAAAGATGACCTGTGTGGATGTCAGAGATATCTAAAGAGGCATGGAACATTTCTGTTCAATTTGGGCTAATCCTGCAGGGCCTCACTCCTCTAACTTTGATTTCGAGTCCTGGTAGGAAACACATTATGGTCATAAATAGAACTCTGTAGGTTGTGTTCCCAGATTCTTGAGAATGTCTCCTCTAGTGGCATTCTTTTTTTTTTTCCTACGATCCTCATCCCCTAGTTTGCACCAAATTTCTGTCCAAATTGTTATAAGTATGAGGAATGTATTGCTTAGAGTTAATGTATAATCTTTCCAATTACAAAAGCCAGCTGATCAGTTGTAGTGGTTCTGCATGCTGTGTCTTTTACATACACACATACTCACACAGGACTACTTGTTTGGCATCTAAAATTCTGGGAAGCTAAATGAACTGAGGCGTTGCTGCTTGAGCCGATCTAGAGACATGTTGGTGTGTCAGTTTTGGCAGAAAAAAGTCTGGCTCCTGCTTGTCATAGTTGTGTCTGCAGAAGCCCTAGCGTGAGCCCAGCATGGGTGGCAGGTGAATGCTTTTTGCTGGTGCAGTGTCTGGGAGCTGGTTTAGGCTGTACTGACAGAAGAGCCGTGTCAGTGTGAGCTGACTCCCCATTTTGGAAGGGTTGCCAGCTGTTTGCTCCTCACCTAAAGGAAGGGCTGATGCCCAGGTGTACACGTACTCATGTAATGAACCCATGGATCAGGGGAGCTGGCATTCAGGATGCATTTCTTCTCAGTTTTCTTTCTAAGAGACTGAGACTTATTCGCTGAGTTTCATCCTGATCTTATTTAAGCTTATAAGCAGGATCCATCACATCCACAGGAAGAGTAGCAGTTTCCCAGTGAATTCTGGAGGGGAATCTTCAAACACAACATGAATGTTCCTTTGGCAAAACCCTTTTTTTTGTTTTAACCTGCAAACACAAGAATAACATTGCCAGGATATGTGGCAAACCTGGTGAGGTGATCCAGCATTGTTTTACCACATGCAGAGGTGATCAAGCTGTCAGCGTCAGCTCTGTCCTTCTCTCTGATGGGGCAAATTCTGTTCCATATCTCTTGGTTTGCCCATCAGCTCACCCTAATTTACCATTTCTTTCTCCCTTAATACCTCTCCTCCCTCCGCTTTCTTTCATCCCTTCCCTCTCTGAGAATGCTCACCTGTCATGCTCTCCCTGGCAACATTTTCCTTCTGTCACCCTTACTCTGGATTGCCCTCTGCATGTATGTCAGTTCTCACTTCAGGTGCCCTGCACTATCCGAGGAACATCAGAGGGGTTTTTGGCAGAAGAAGCCAAAGGCTGGAAGTGCTTCCCAGTCTGGAGGTGAGCAATAACAGCAGCAGTAACAGATCCCTGCTGGGAGAGGCGTCAGTGTTGCACTCAGGAAGTGGCTGTCAGGTAGCGCTGGATTGGAACTGTGCCCCATGGCTGAGGTATAACCAGCTGGTTAATTCTGGCAAGTTTAAGGAGGAAAAGGTTTGAGTTCATAGTGCTGATGGGCCAGTAGAGATGCCTTGAAGAAACAGATGCACCAAGTAGAACAGTGATGGTGAGATATATATATATATGTGTGTGTGGGTGTGTATGTATATGTATATTTATAGTTACCAAGTAACTATTTTAAGTAACTTTTTGGTTAAAATCATACTTGTGTTTTTGAAAAATGCTTTTTAAAACCTTCCAAAAAATCCAGGTGAGGGATATGGACATGAAACATCTAGGGTGCTTCTAATTTTAATGAGAGCTTGTTTCTTGCCTTCCCTTGAAACAAAAAAAAAAATGCAGAATTGGGATCCTAAATTAAGCTGAGGCTCTTATAATTGTTTGCTTGCTAGTTATGAAACTCCTTAAAAAGTGAATTCTGCAGGCAATATTGATGTGGGTGATCCTTGTAAAAAACCTAGTGACATACCGTCACTGACAGAGAACTATGCTCTGTCACACCTTCTTGACAGCAGGTAATAATTTTCTCTCTAAAGAGTCCAGTTGAAATAAATGAAACTGCTTGAAAAGCAGCAGGTACTGCTGGATAATGGCCTTTTAAATCAATGAAGTCCCTTGTAGCATAGGCTTTGCCCAGGAAAACCATGGATGACAGAATCTGAATGTCTGGATTACTTACAAGTAGCAATTGCAGAGTCAGGATTAAATTTCTATGTGAGGAGTTAAAAATAAAGTTCCATTGATGGTTGGGTGTTTTTTAGTTGTTGTTTTGTTTTTTCCTTTTTCCATCTTGAAGTACTTGTATAAAAAATGAGGCATGATCCAAACCTTACTGTTCTGTGAGAGTCCTTCCCACTTTACACAGTATCAGGCCCAGAGCTCCAGCAGTGCAATGTTATTCTTCACCTTGGCCCCTCCAACTCACAATGTGGGAGAGAAAACAGATTTTCCTTCTCTGAAGGGGTCACAGGCCTTCCATTTCTTATTTCTGCTTCTGACTGTACAAATAGAAAAGATGGGTCAGGAAATGAAGTTCAATTGTCTGGAAGAGTGGCAGCAAATGTCAGATAGAAGCAAGGTGAGGCGGGAAGCAAAGTGGAGTAGCTAGTGGTTTCCTGGCAGAAATACAGAGTTATTCCTACTTGCAGCAAAAGAAAATCCTGTGAGAGAAAGCAGGTGTTTTTCTCTCTGTCAAATGAACTGTTTGTCTTATTGATGGAGCATCCAAGAAAGTGTAGATGTTCCTATATTTTGATCCTTTCCTGTGCATTTCAATTTCTTGTATTCTTGTTCAAAGAGCAAGAAGTGCCAAAGCTGCACTGAGGTAATAATGACCTTTGCTGAATCACACTGAATTTGTGGTAGTAAGCCAGATTTGATTGAAGTTTATCTTTACTGTTGTTTTGTTATTGCAGACCTTGGAGGTGCAGGACAAACACACGGATTACCTGCCACGAAGGACCAATAATAGCAATCATTAAAGCTATAAGGAACATTTTAAATCAAGGGATTTTGTCAGAAGCTCCTTGGTAACATGTTTTCTATGACACTGCTAGGAACATAGGAATTGGGAACATACAGCTCTTGGAACATGTAGCCATTTAGTAGTAGTGATTCACTGGGGACAGACAAACAAGTGAAGGGGCATTGAACTGTAACTGCTGATCAATGTACAGAAGAATAAATTCTGAAACTAAAACCAAACTCCTTTGTGTCTGTAGAAGAATTTGTACTTGAGATCTCATTTCCTTCATTTACTCTATTATTCTCCCTGGAAAGCAGTCATCTCTGTACTTCTCAGAGCCTGTTGTCCTGGAAATAACAGATTTCATGAATGCAGAGCCTAATTCTGGCCTCAGAGTAGCAGTCCCTTCATACCAGCTATTTCCCCACTGCTCCTGACTCGTAGATCCTGGAGCAGTGCCTGGGAAGATGGAAGGAAGTCAGTGCCCAAGGCATAGTGTGCTGCTGAACACTGAGTGAGAACAGTGTTCAACAGCACAGAGATGTTCCCAGATGAGAGGTGTCCCTGCTATAACCCAAGCATCTCCATGGACTGCTTTAATTTACAGCCTGTGACCACGTTTTCCACTGCCACAGCCTGCTCATCAGCAGGCCTAAAACGAGCTTGTCCCTCATTTCATGTGGTGCAGGGATAATGGTCAGGTATTGTGGCTTATGTTAGAAATTGGAGTCATGCAAAGCCTCCAGGATTGGCACTGAGAACTGCAGATGTGGTATAGCCAGAGCTGTGTTTAGTTCAAGTAAATCACAACTGGCAGGGCTGGAAAGCAGCCACGTAATCTTTTGACCTGTGCTCTTGTTCAGACAAAGCCAAATTAAGGTGGATTACCCTGTGCCTGCATAGGGGAGGGAATCCTTCAGCACAGCTCCCCTGCCAGCACTGTGTACCCCAACAGGGCTTGCCTGCAGCAGGCTAATTTACCTTCCTTGGACTTTGCATGGGTTGCCTTGTAGAAAATATCTGTAACAACGTGGTCTTGGGGGCTAATGGCAGTAGTAAAGATAATCTTACACCAACCAGGCCAGTGAGATGAGTCAGGTCTGCAGCAAATCATATAGAGAGCAATACAAATAAAATTAAAAAAAAAAAAAAAAGAAGTGATAATGAAAGGTTGGACTTCCCCAGCTTTGCACTCTGCACCGATACATGTTTTCTGATGTGAATGGCACTTCTGATTAAATCTGTGTTTAACCTTAAAAGCCTGTTGGGCTCATTCCCTGAGGAACGAGCCCCCACAGGAGAGATGAGGTGCTGGAGGTCCTGTGGGAGGTGTGGATGGTGACTGGGCAGGGAGGGAGCACTGGTGCCTTTCCAGGGCATTGAGCACAGGAGTGCTGAGCACAGGGCCTCTCTAGAAACCCTCTGTAAATTTGGGGCCCCTTTGCAGTGGTACAAGCCAGGAGCACCTTGGCCAGGTCTGCCAAGTGCAGAGCTCCTGCTGGGGGCTGGCCCTTGGAGCAGTGCCCTGTGCTGGGAATGCCTGGGAGGCAGGTGTGGTGGAGGCTTCTACACAGCTCCCAGCTTGTCTGTTGAAGGCACAGACTGAAAGACCTCGCTGAGCAAGAATACTAGTTAACCTTTTCAAGAACATTTTGTGTATCCTTTTCAAAGGATTTCTTATGGATAATTGAAGCAAAATATCTCCAGTCTGCCACACGGTTACTTAATGGAAGGTTCCATGAGAGATGCCATTATTTTTCTTAAAGGACCTGACTACTATTTACTCTCTTATTAGTATTATTGCTGTTAATACAACATTGTTCAGAAGTCTCAGGCAAAACTAGTCAAAAAACAAACGAAAAAAGGGCTGTGACAACAGAGAAAGTAGAAATTACTTAGGAAGATAACTGCTGTCCTGTAATTTATAAAACATATCATGATCTATTTTCACTTGCTGTTTAGTATTCAGAGGCTGGATCGAACAACCAGTGAAGTTTGTAAAAACTCCTTTGACTTCAGTAGGAACTTGACCAGGCAGTAAATGCTGGCTTCATTAGGGAAAACACCTGAGGACTGTGATATTTTCTATCAAAATAAATAATTTTTTCTTAAGATATGTAATTAAGTGATAAAAGGGTTGGTGCTACTAAATTCTGCAATTGAGTCATAAGCCTTTTAAAACCTGAAGTAGCAAAAAGGCTCTGATTTGATGATGGCACACTGCAAGCTCTATCTTTTGAGCAAGAGTTGAAGGTTAAGCATAGTACCAAACTGTGCCCAACGCTATTGACAAAGTCCTTTGTATGGCTCTTCCCAAGAGGCACACCTATGTAACTATTCCTCAGGGCTGAGACGTAATCTTTCAGGGTTGCTTGTCACAAATTTGTCCTCATGTCATACATTCATCCCCTTTTGCAGAGTGTGATTAAGGATGTGCAGAGCAAATCCTTCTGCAGACAAATGGTGTGATCCTTGCTACATGAGGGGTGTCCCATTTTAATTGTCAGAACAGATGTGATTTTCATTTTCCTCCATTATTTGCCTGCACCCATAATCTGCTGCTCTTACATTCTGCAGTCATGTCTTGTGCCTGGGGGTGCAGACAGGGATATCCATCTTGAAGAGTGATTGTTTAGCCATTGCCAGTGCTTCCCTCTCTGAGTTGCCACTGTCCTGGGTTAAAGAGACAGCCACGTTCATATTAAGTAGAGGCCCTCCATCTGTTATAAAGCTTGCACAAAGGTGGCACATGTGTGTGGAATATGTAGCTAATTTAACAACAAGCCACCCTTGGAGTGATGTCAAAGTCTTGCAGTGCCTGTGGATTATCAATTAGGCAAATTTTAGAGCCTCATGTCACATCCTTAAACTGTTTCTTTTATGGCACTGTCCTCATAACTGTAGTGCCTAGAAAAACTTTAATATTGCAGATACTTTAATCTTCAGATTAAAATCACAGGGGAGTATCTTTTTCCGGTCAGACTCTAAGCACATTAATAACTTGTGCCCAGAACCTGTTTGCCACAGTCTCAGTGCATAGATGACTCTCCCATAGAGAGACAAGCAGACAAGAAATGCTGTCGGCAACCTGGAGTAGCTGAAATGTACTCCTCTCTTGTGGAACTTCTGCTGAAGCCAGAGTTTGAACTGAAGGCCAGCTGAAACGGTGCTTTTCTGGCAGTGGAGTATTTTTTGAGAGAATAAAGAATCACAGAATGGTTGGGGTTGGAATGGACCTCTGGAGATCATGTAGTCCAACCCTTCTGCTACAGCAGTTCATCTAGAGCAGGTCTAAAGGACTCTGAAGGTCATGTACAGCATGAGTCTAGTGTAGGGATAGGCAGAAGGTGCATGCCTTTGTTAGCCTGCCTTAACAACCTGATTTCCCACTAGGTATCAAGGCATCCAATAAATGAACTGAAAAAGAATCCCACAACACACATGGCATCAGTTACTTTTTATTTAGCTCCATTTGTCAGTCACACTTGGCAGCTTTTCCAACATAATGAGAAGTCTGGTTACTTTGGCACTCAGGGGCATTTTCTTTCTTTTAACATGGAAGGAATGAAGTTGAGGCCTTTTGTGGTAGGTGCACAGATGTTGTGCTGTCACTTAGTAATAATACTTCACTCAAACAAACTGTCTTGGTAAGAAACTGTGTTTGCTTTTGTTTTGAGGTGAAGGAAGCTTCGCATGAACCACAGATGGTGTTTACAGCTCGTCATGCAGCTATCACTTTCCAGACAGATGGAGAAACATGGAGAGAACAGAAAGAGAAAAAGGCAGCTCTGATGGTTGGCATCTTAATTGGAGTTTTTGTACTGTGCTGGATCCCTTTCTTCATCACAGAATTAATAAGTCCCCTCTGTTCCTGCAACATCCCACCGGTCTGGAAAAGCATCTTTCTTTGGCTTGGCTACTCAAATTCTTTCTTTAATCCTCTAATTTATACAGCATTTAACAAAAATTACAACAATGCCTTCAAGAACCTTTTTGTAAAGCAGAGATAAAAGGGGACACAGAGGAGAAAATCATTCCTCTGTTGCATAATATAGAGATTTGTTGAGGGAAACATGCCTGTGATATGTACAGGTTTCATGCACTAGAACTACTCAAGGGGATTCAGGAACAATGAGAAAGAAGATGGAAGATGTTTGGATATAAACCAACTGACAGTTTACAGTTCCCCCTTGGAAATACATATGTCCTGCTCCAGGGTTTGGCAGAGAAGATGGAAGCAGTGAATACCTCCCGTCTGCTCTTGGAATCAACATGTGCTGAGGTCTAAAGCGAAGCGCTGTGTGTGTCTGATACCATGACTGTCAAACCCAACACATCTGATCTCATCCAACCTACACGTGCCATCCTGGAGCTCTCTCATCATTAGCAAAGACAACAGTGGGAGCTGCTAATTGAGCAATACCAAAATGTTTGTGACAGGGGCAGGATGCTGCTTCATTTCTGAGATTTATTTGGAAGGGAATAAACATGATGTATTCAATCAGTCATTGAGTTGATGTGAAATTAAAATGGATGATTAAGCAGCTCAGAAACATGCCCTGATGATTGAGGGGCTGCGTGTGCTCTAGTAAGCAGTGCTTGATGGGCAGGCTTGGCTGTGTCCCCTGGAGTCCCCTGGGAGTGAAATTTTAGAGCCAAATGTAAAATTATTCAGAGCTCCCAAGGACGTGCTCTCACTCCTTGCACAGGAGGCAGATCTAGCCTGGAGTTTTCACCTGTGTTGCACCCTTACTCTGCAGGGCTCAGGCTCTCCCTGTTTTATGAAACCCAGGTGAGCTCAAGATAGACCCCCAATACCTCCAAGTGAATGGGGACTGGATGCATTATTGTTTCATGCTACCATATAAGTGAGCGTGTCTGTGTTACAAACACCAAACATGCTGTTCAGTCACCAGGTTTGCTGGCAGCAGCGTGTGGCTGCTTGGCAGTGGTAGGTGAGTGTCTGCACCGTGTCTTGCACCATAAGTCTGCTCATCACCCTCCCTGATTGAAGTCCACAATTTGTCAGCTTGCATCAACTACCTCCTGCTATAAGAAAGGTGTTGATGCCATCAGGTGTGACTCCCCAGACCCCAAAGTGACTCAAAACCAAGCCTTAAATTGTTATTCCAAGGTCCGACAAACACTCCTGTCCACCAATATATACATAAATAAATGAAGTATTTCCTTGCATACTGCAAAATCTATCTCACTCCATATTGTTCCTCTAGTGGGTTTCACTTCCTCCCCTGCCCCGAGGGGGAGAGCTGAGAGCATCTCTGAGTATTTCTTGCATGGCAGCTTTTTACTGACGGAGAGTCCTGGCACCCTCTTCCATCTCCTCCTAAAGCTTCCTTAAGTACTGTAAGGGCAAATCATCATAGCTCTTATGGAGCTGGGCAACATCACAGCTCCTTCAGAAGCTGAGGTTTAACCTTTCACACTGCCCTTCTCTGCCAGTCTTGTATTTTCTGCTGCTTAAGAAACCCTTTGGTTCAAAGCGTACCCTCGGGCAAACACAAACTGCACAGGGTGACTAAAAGTCAGGAATTTCAGCTCCAGCAACCTGCACCACTGGCATCTCCATCTCACTGCAGCACATCACACTCAGCCTCATCTCTGACAGGTACCGACCCAACGGGCATCGACACCGGTGCTGAGCATGAAACTCCTACCAAAGCCTTGGTATCCTGGCAGTCTCTCCAGGGAATGGCAGCCAGGTGTGTTTCCATAGCCAGGGACTGACATCCTGGGCAGCCACGTCAGCGAGGTATTATCGAGTAGCTCGTGTGTTCTGAAAAATAAAAGAATGATGCAGCCTTTACTTCCTTAAATTTAAAGCAGAGTCAAACTTTAAAGAGTTAACTTTAAAGGTAATCTAGTGCATCTTAAAGTGATTCATGTACCTGGTGATGTCAAATTGAGCTTAGTGTCAGGTATACTGGCAACTTAGAC